TTGAAACAGGGTCTCCCTGTAGCCCCAGCTGGCCTGGAACTCACTATGTAGACCAGGCTAGCCTTGAACTCACAGAGATCCATCTGTCTCTGCCTCCCAAGTGCTGGGACTAAAGACATGCACCAACATGCCTGACTACACATGGACTTTTAAACAATTATATTGATTCCTTTAATCTTTGGGTGTTTAAGAAAATGCAGTTGGACTAGCAATTTATTTTTATTCTTAAGGTCGTTTTAGGATCTGTTCCTCAGGGGTCACATGGGCTTGGGAGGAGCCAAAGGCTCCTTTCTTTCACCAGTTCCATCAACGTGAAGATAAGTCAAAGGTCCTGCTGGACCGTAGATGGCTTTACTTGGAAGCATGGAGGAAATGTTTCATCTGGGTTGACCCTCTCTTTGTAGACTGGACACTGGTTCAAATCCATCTGGTGGGGTCTCCACGGCCTCCTTGATCAAGAGGACAGGTGACTTACCTTAGTTACAGGACTTTTTGAGAGATGCTCATAGTCCCCTGGAACTTAGTGAACCTCAGAAGTCAAGGAGCAAAAAGTGTCCTTAAGTCCATCTGACCAAATTAGTATAGGCCTCAAATATGGCTGTTAAACATCCAAGAAGGTTAGTTCCACCAGTCTGGTACTATTAATTATCATGTACTATGTAGATAAAGCTTGGGCAAAGACCAAAGGTTCTCAGATAAACCTTGACTAGACATATATTATGTTCCTCGAGGTAGTTCTATGTATAATTTGTCAGTAGGTTGTTGGACTAATATGGTTCCCTATTTTTTTTAAACTAGCTAGCTATTATTTATCTCTCACATTGTCCAACACTCCCACCATGGTTTCCCCACTTAAAGTGCCCCCATTTTTCCCATTTCTCCTTTACTAATACCTTTCTCCTATGGTCCCACCTTTCTTGAGCTCCTTCTTTCCCTTTATCCCCTAGGTTCCTTGTATAACCCTCCCTGACCTCTCCCCATAAAATAACCACATTTTTATCCATATCTCCCTTATGAACACCTGTTTCCTACTGTTCTTCTCTTTCAGATTCTTTCTTTTCCTTTACTTCCCTGGTACCTTCTTGTTATGCTGGTTCCTGTAGTTATGTCTGGATACATACTCACTTATCAGGATTTGGTGCTACAATCCACATATGAGGGAGAACATATGTCGTTTGTTTTTCTGAGTCTGTGTTACTTATACTTAGTATAAGTTTCTAGTTCCATCCATTTACCTGCAAATTTCATGATTTCATCTTTCCTTAGTGTTGAGTAAAGTTCCATCACATAAATGAACCACATTTTCATTATCCACTCATCAGCTGAGGGACTCTTAGGTTGCTTCCATCTCCTAGCTATTGTGAAAAGAGCAGCAACAAACATGGATATACAAGTGTCTCTGCAAAAGGATGAGTTCTTCGAGTATATGTCAAGGAGTGGAATAACTGGGTCAAATTGTAGGTTCATTTGTAGGATTTAAGGAGTTCTCCACACTGCTTTCCATAGGAGTTGAACAAGTTTGTAAATCCCACCAGGAGTGGATGAGCGTTCCCCTTTCCCCACATCCTCTCCAACACTGATCTTAGCCAGTCTGACTGGGGTAAGACGAAATCTTAAAGTGGCTTTAATTTGCATTTCCCTAATTACTAATGATGTTGAATACCTTTTAAAATGTTTTTAGCCATCTTTAATTTTTCTTTTGAGAACTATCTGTACAGCTCCTTAGCCCATCTTTTAATTGCATTACTTCCTTTCTTGATTGTTTTTTGAGTTCATTATATATTCTGGATGTTAAACCTCTGTCAGATCTGTTGCTGGTGAAGATTTCCTCCCATTCTGTGGGTTTTCTCTTCACTTCCTTTGTTGCTTCTTTTGATGTACAGAAGCTTTTTAGTTTAATGAGGTTCCATTTGTTGATTCTTGACCTTGTTTCCTGAGGTTTTGAAAATCCTTTCCTATACCTATATCTTGTAGGGTATTGCCAATGTTTTCTTCTAACAGTTTCAGAGCGTCACACATCACATTAAGGTCTTTGATCCATGTGGAGTTGACTTTTATGCAAGGTGAAAGATAGGGGTTTAGTTTCACTCTTCTACTGGTGGAGATTCAGTTTTGGCAGCACCATTTGCTGAAGATGCTCTTTCCTTCGGTGAATTTTCTTGGTCCATTTGTCAAATGTCAGGTGGCTGAAATTGCATGTGCTCATGTTTAGGTTTTCAATTTTACTGCATTGATCTACAGGTCTATTTTTGTGCCAGTACCATGTTGTTTTTATGACTGTAGCTCTGCAATACAGTTTAAAATCTGGTAGAGTAAACACCCCCTCCCAGAATTGCTCCTAGTGCTCAAGGTTGCTTTAGCTATCTGAGGTTTTTGTGCTTCCATATGAATCTTAGGATTTTTTTTTTCTAATTCTGTAAAGAATGTCATGGGGATTTTGATTGGCATTTCATTGAATCTATAAATGGCTTTTGGTAGGATGGTCATTTTCACAATATTAATTCTTCCAATCCACGAGGATGGGAGGTCCCTCCATTTTCTGATGTCTTCCTCAATCTTTTCTTTAAAGATTTAAAATTTTCATTGTAGAGGTCTTAAATGTCTTTGGTTAGGTTTATTCTGAAATATTTTATTTTGTTTTAGTTTTTGTAGCTTTTGTGAAAGGGAGTGTTTCCAAGTACTCTTTCTCTGATTGCTTGTTATTTGTATATAGAAAGGCTACAAACTTATGTAGATTAATTTTTTTAATCTGCCACTTTACTGAAAGTGTTCATCATTTCCAGGGGTTTTCTGCGGGAATTTTTGGCTTCTTTTAGGTATAATATCATATCGTCTGCAAAGAGGGATAATTTGATATCTTCTTTTCCAATTATTATTCCTTTAATTTCATTCTCTTGTCTTATTACTCTTGCAAGAGTTTCAAGCACTATCTTAAAGAGGAGTGGAGATAGTGGACATCCTTGGCAGGTTCCTGATTTCAATGGAAATGCTTCCAAGTTTTCTCCATTTAGAATGATGTTGGCAGTGGTTTTGTTGTATATGGCTTTAATTATGTTGAGGTATATTCACCCCAGTCCAATTCCCTCTAGGACTTTGAACATAAATGCATGTTTAATTTTGTCAAAGGCCTTCTCTGCATCTATTGAGATGAGCATGTGGTTCTTGTCTTTTAGTCCATTTATATGATTTAGACATTTTTTGACTTACGAATATTGAACTATCCCCTGCATTTCTGGGATAAAGCCAACTTGATCATGGTGGATGATCTTTTTGATGTGTGTCTGTATGCAGTTTGCAAGTCTTTTGTTGAGAACCTTTGCATCTGTATTCATTAAGGATATGGGTCTGTAGTTGTCTTCTTTGGTTATATCTTTACCTGGCTTTGGTATTAGAGCCATGCTGGCTTCATAGAAGGAATTAGGTGTTCCCCTTCCGTTTCTATCTTTTTGAACAAATTAAGTAGTATTGGATATAGATCTTTTTTAAATGTCTGCAAGAATTCTGCTGTAAATGCATCTGCTCCTGGACTTTTATTAGGACGTTTTGTATTGCTATTTCAGGTTTCTTATGTGTTATGGATCTATTTAATCTGTTGATCTCTTCTTGGTTTAGTTTTGGTAGTTCCCATGCCTTTAGATATCCATCCATTTCTTTTAGGTAGTGTATTGGTTTTTAAAGTATTCCCTTATAATATTCTGGATCTTTTTGATGTCTGTTGTGATTTTTCACCTTTTGTCTCTTATGTTTGTTGAATTGGATTTGCTCTTTCTATCTTTTGGTTAACTAAGATAAGTGTGAATCTTTGTATTGTTTTCTTTGTTTCTATTTCATTAATTTCTGTTCTGACTTTTGTTATTTCTTCTTGTCTGCTGGGTTTGGTTTTCATTTGCTGTTGTTTTTCAAGTGTCTTGAGTTGCAATGTTAAGTCAATTATTTGTGTTCTTTCTGATTTTTTTTCTTTCTGATTTTTTTAATGAATGCACTTAGAGCTCTAAACCTCCTTCTAAGGACTGCTTTCCACACGTCCCAAGGTTTTGTTGTGTTGTATTGTCCTTTTCATTTCGTTCCAGGAATACCTTTATTTCTTTCTTAATTTCTCCTTTGACCCATTCACCATTCAGGAGTGTGTTGTTTAATCTCCATGTGTTCATGTGGTTTCTAGGGTTTCTTCTGGTGTTGATTTTAAGCTTTATCACATTGTGGTCTGATAGAATGCATGGAATTAGTTCAATCTTTTTGTATTTCTTGAGGTTTATTTTGTGCTCCAGTATATGGTTGATTTTGGAAAAGGTTCCATGGGGCACTGAATAGAAAGTATATTCTTTGGTACTTGGGTGGAATATTCAGTAGATGTCTGTTAGGTCCATTTGATATATGGTATTGTTTAATTCAGATGTCTCTCTGTTAATCTCTGTCCTGTTGACCTATCTAAGGGAGACAATGGGGTATTGAAGTCCCTACTATTAATGAGTTGGTATTAATCTGGATCTTAAAGTCCTGTTGTACTCCTTCTATGAAGTTGGGTGCACCAGAGATGGGTGAATATATTTTCATCATTCTAATATCTTCTTGTTTTTTTTTTGTTCCTTTGATCAGAATGAAGTGGCCCTCTTTATCTCTTCTGATTAGTTTTAGTTTAAAGTCTATTTTATCAGATATTTGAATTGCAATGCCTGCTTTTTTCTTAGTAGCTTTCTATTGGTGTTTGTTTTTTTTTTATCCTTTCACCTTAAGGTAGTGCCTGTCCTTGAAAGTGAGATGAGTTTCTCGCAGACAACAAAAAAATGGGTTTTGTTTCTTAATCCATTCAACTAGTCTGTGTCTTTTGACTAAGGAGTTCAGTCCATTGATATTTAAAGTTATTAATGAAAGATGTGTATTGAATCCTGTCATGTTTATTTCTGTTCACATTCTTGATATAGCTGTGCATTTCCACAGTTATACCTTCATTGAATTTCTTTCTGTCACCCCTTATATAGTATATATATATAGTCATTCCTTTCTTCAGCTCTTTGTATTGCTTCCAGAACTCTCTGAAGGGCTGGTTTTGTGGACATAAATTCAGCCTATTCATATCATGGAAGATTTTTCTTTCCCTTTCAACTATAATAGACATTTTGGCTAGGTAAAGTAATCTGGGTTGGCATCTGTGATCATTTAGAACTGTGAATACTCTGGTCCAGGCTCTTCTGGCTTTCGTAGTTTGCACTGAAAAGTCAGCTGTAATCCTTATGGGGTTTCCTTTATATGTGACTTGTTTTTATTTTGCAGCTTTCAGTATTGTCTCTTTGTTCTGTACATTTAGTGTTTTTATTATGATATGCCATGGAGAGTTTCTTTTCTGGTCCTATCTATTTGGTGGTCTATACGCTTCTTGTATTTGTATGGGCATGTCTTTCTTTAATTCTGAGAAATGTTCTTCTATAATCCTTTTGAAGATATTGTCCATACCATTATCTTGGGATTATTCTCCTTCCTGTATGGCTATGATTCGTAAGTTTGGTCTTTTTATGGTGTCACACAATTCCTGCATATTCCATTCTTGTGTTTTCTTAAATTTTTCATAATCTTTGCTTGAGTGGTCTAATTCGTCCACTTTATCTACCAGTCTTGATACTCTATTTTCCATTTCATTCATCCTGTTGTTGAGGCTTTCTCCTGTCATTTCTAATTGACTTATTGAGTGTTTCACTTCCTTCTTCATTTCAGCCTGAGTATTCGTTAGTATTTCTAACTCTTTCCTGAATTCATTCAGAAGTTTATCCCTATCATTCTTCAGTTCTGTGATTTCTTTGTGTGTTCTTTAAATTCACTGAATTCTTTTATCATGTTTATAACTGTTCTTTTGAATTCCCTGTCCTGTGTCATCTCTGGGGGGTTCTCATTGTACTCCTCCTGAGGACTATTGGTACTTGGTGGGGATATATTATTTTGGTTTTTCATGTTACTATTTTTTTCCCTGCGACTTTGACATGTGGATTTCTTTTGTAGTTCTGATTTTTGTGTGAGACTCAAGTCTTCCTTTGTTGAGTTTAGTGTGCTTATTTTTGTAAACTTTATGTGTCTTTGTGGTTTACTCATTGGGCATGAAAAGCTGGTTAGTCTAGGCTTCAGGTTCTTTCTTTTGATTTTATATTGGAGTGTCCAAATTGCTTTCCTCTTCAGGAATTCCCATAGAGGTCTAAGTGAGGTGAGGCAAGGCTCAGATGTTCTCAGGCTTTCTCCTAAAGTCTGGCTCCCTCCAGGAAAAATACTGTCCTTAGGAATTTGGCAGCTGGGCTGGCCTGGGAGCAGGAAGCTGGTGGCTATGCCACGCAGGAATGAAAAGGGAGTTGGGGGTGGGGATAGGCCCCAAGGGCTCCTGGGGACTACTGGGAGGAATTGGGTTGGTCTGGATGCAAAGGATCTGGAAGCAGTGAGGAGTCTGTGCCTAGAGGTCAGTCCAGGAGTCTGGTTCCAAGACAAAAATGGGCCAGTACCCAGGCTGCAGGGGAGCTGGGAGGGTGAATGAGCCTGAGGGAGTTAAGGCACAGCAGCTAAGGGACCCACCCAGGAAAGATACTGGCACCAGGAAGCTGGTGGCCGAGTGGCCCAGGAAAGCAAAGGTAGGTGTGGGTGATACCAGGTCCAGAGCGCTCCTGGGGAGTACTGGGAGGAACTGGGTTGGTCTGTATACAAAGGCTCAGGAAGCAGTGGTAGCTCTGGGCCAAGAGGTTAGCCCCCGTGTCTGGGGTTCCAAGACAAGAAATGGGCCAGCACCCAGGCTAGGAGGGGAGCTTCGAGGGTGAAAGTTGCTGGCGGAGTCAATGGCGGTGGGCACCGCTGGACTTACCCAGGAAAGGTGCTGGCACCAGGACATCAGAAGCTGTTCAGCCCAGGGAAGCAAAGGGAGGTGAGGGCGGGACCAGGCCCAGATGGCTCCTGGGGACCAGGAAAGGTGTTGGGACCAGGAAGCCCAGGGGCTGTGCAGCCCAGGGAAGTAAAGGGAGAGGAAGGGTAAAGGCAGGACCACGCCCAGAGGCTCCTGTGGACCAGAGGGAGGAACTGAGTTGGTCTGGATGCAATGGATCAGGAAGCAGTGGGGAGTCTGTACCAAGAGGTCAGTCCAGAGGTCTTAGGTGCCAAGACAAGGAATGTGCCAATGCCCGTGGTAGGAGGTGAGATGGGACGGGGGAGCTGGGAGGATGAATGAGGCTGGGGGAGTCAAAGCTCAGTGGGCACCACTAAATTTACCCAGTAATACTGCTGGCCCCAGGAAGCTGGGGGTCTGGGAAAATAAAACATTTTTTAAAGGCATGCAGAAAAGGAAAGTGGTATGAACCCAGGGTGGCGGAAGAGACTGTGGCTTATCTAGTCCACAAAGAACAACAGCTGGCACAAAGGCCCAGAGATAGGAGTGTGCTTGGCATGTGGGAGGTGCAGAAAGGAAGTTGCCTCTGTGGGACCAAGTCCATGAGGAAAAGGCCAGTGTCAGGTAGCAGTGTGATTGGAGAAGGAAGAAGGGGGCTGTGGATTGAGGGGACATAAGGGCCATAAGAGCCCATGGGAGAATTTCAGTGATGAGGCAACTTGATCCCCCTTTAATGGGGGAAGTTTCTCAAAATGCTCTAGGAATAGGTGAAAAGATGAGGCTCAGAGATGAGTTAAAAAGAGGGTGTTTGGACAGATTCAAACGTGTTTAAGATTTTGAGGCACCCTCTACTTAAACATACAAGGCTTGTGTTTTGTTGTTATCTGTTCTATGTGGGACAAAATGAAATAATGAAATATTGCATTATTTTTTTAAAAATATAACATACTGACCTCCTTCAGCACTGCTGAGTTAGACTCCGTATGGTGAGGTGCATGCTGGGAAGTGTGGTGCTGTCTGTGTTTCAGGTCTGCTCTCAGCTGATGAATGGGATCGATCACATTTTTAAGGTATGAGCTCCATTGTTCTGATAGCTCTTGCTCTATGGTGAAATGAAGTTGAATCAAGGAAACATGCTATCAAGTTTCTTTAAGTAAAGAACAGAGCATTAGAGTTCAGACTTTTTATATTCCTTTAGAAAAAATCAAACATGGAGTGGCCAATTTTCATACCTCCAAACAAAATTCCCCTTCAAATGTAGGAACAAAAAAAAAAAAAAAAAAACTCACCAAAATTCCTAAGTTCACAAAGACATTCATTTCCAATGTTCTCTTCATTGAGAAAATATTTCATTTCAGACTCCAATTTACATCTGAAACAGACATGATCTCAATCAATTTCCATACAGTCATAATCATACATAGAAGTTTAAAATGAGTAGGAATATTCAATCTAGTATGGTTTTGTTCATTTGTTCATTTATTCATGCCATGTGCTAAGTTCCTAACTTGGGCAGAAATGAGAGTATGGGCAAGGCAGTGCCCCTTGACGCTGAGTGCATCAGGGCACCATAAGTGTTCCCTCTTGCTCAGGTTTCTTTCAGAAAGTCTCCCAAGGCAGAAAGCTAAAGATGGACCTGACCATGGAGTGAGCAACAGTTAACAAAAGCTGAAATGGAAAGGGCAAGCCTGAACCTGCAAGGAGGCCGCTTTAAAACTGCAGCCATGACGAGAGTCCAGGCCAGGCAAATGGGAACAAAAGTGTGAGTTTTTTAATATAGTAGAAACAGAAAATCTTCATAATCCTTCATCCTATTTAAGAAATGTAATTATTTCTAGAGTAAAACCAAAACAAACTCTGTGTGGACACTCAAAATTTGTATTGTTTCTATCCTTTTATTATGGCAATCAACTAAATCTGAGATTTGTTATGAACAGTATAGTTTAATATTAAAATACCATAAAAATAGTAACAATTCTAAAATGTTAGTATGTTAATTATCTTCATTTTTGCAAACAGGTTTTTATTCTTTGCATGTATTTTGTATAGTTGTAATAATGGCTTGTTTAACACTCCATATTGTAGATTTGTATGGGTTGTTTTGCTTTAAACTGATATTTTAAGGCATTGCCAAATAGTCTTCATAATTAATGCAATGATTCCATAATGTTCACATATGCACGTGCCATCATTTTCCCAGCCAACACACACACACACACACACACACACACACACACATATGCACTGAGATTGAAATTGTATACCCAGCTTTTTCAAACTTGGTTTCTGGGGCTCAAACTCAGGTTCTCATGTTTGCATGGCAAGCACTGTACCAACTAAGCCATCACTCCAGACTGTTTTTAAGAACATATTTGCAACTGTTACATGGAACATGTCTGCAATATCATGAAGCCAAACCAGAATTTACCTTAGGGTTGTTTAACCAAAAATGCAGTACTTAAAAACAACCAGTTCAGATTCTTTCTATTTTTAGGGCACAATAGGTCACAATAGAGCCTACAAACTGACAGAAAAAGGAAGCTACGTGTTATTCAGGTGATCCGAGCAAACCGGTTCTCCACTTAGAGCTTTGCACTCTCCTGGAAAGATGAGGTCTGCACTTGGAGTAGACCCTGGAGGACCTCAGCACACCCTTTTACCAAGTGTTTGCACTGCATAAAGTGATGTATCTATCCTACAGACACCAAAGCTCAGGGTTCTTTGCAGTACTAGAATGAAACAAAGGACCAAGTGTCCTGGGAACATGAGGCAGAGTCTACAAGAAATATCGTTTAGGCCAAAATTACAAATAAACACTTACAACTTTAAATAGTAAACAAATTTTATATTTGGAAATGTTATCTAGCTCCCTAAGTATAGATTTCAAGGAACTCAATTGTGCCTGTGTGTGTGTGTGTTTGTGCACGTGTTTGTGTCTGTGCATGCACATGTGTGTGCAAGCCCATGTGTGCATGTATGTGTGCATACATGTGTGTACACATGCCCAAGTAGAGGCCAGAGGTCCATCATGCATTTCCTCAATCACTCTCTCTTATTTTTTAAAAAGGGTTTCTCCCAGCAAATTCAGGGATCTTCCTGTCTCTACCTCCTCAGCACAGGTGTGGACCACCATACCAGTCTCTCTCACTCGCTCTCTATATAGAGAGAGAAAGCAAGTGAGCAAGCAAGAGAGAGATCTATATATAGAGATCTCCAGTGTATATATATATATATATACACTGGAGCTCGAACTCAGATCCTCATGCTTGCTTGCACTGCAAGCACTTTACCAACTGAGCTCTCTGCCCACCTATCCCCCTAGTTTTTTTTTTTTTTTTTAACTAGGAAGATTGGATCAATTAGATCTCCAGTGATCTGCATGGAACTTGTAGGAAAAAAGAAAAGCTGTTCAGCTCCAAGGTCATGGAACACGGGAAGTAAGTACTAATGTTTCAACCCCAGTTTCTTACAAACTAGCTTCTTTACTGTCTACAAATATTTTAGCCCTCTTAGACTCAGTCAGAAAACTATATGGGTTTTTTTTTTGTATTTTATTTATTTATTTTTAATTTTTTGAGTTACCGTAGCCCAGGTTGGCCTTGAACTTACGGAAATCCTCCTGCCTCATCTTCCTGAGAGCTGAGATCACAGGTGTCACCCCTCATATCCATTATGTTGGGCAGATTTTTCCAAGGCTGACAAGCACAGCACAAACTACTAATTTGCTTGTGGTTCCTAAATTTTCCACAAAATCTAGTCACTTTTCTATACCTCCTATTGTTTTTAATTTCACTGAATATGTATTAAAATGAGCTTACATTCTATAACAACACAGAAAATTATCTTGGTGTTCTTTGTGCCCACTGTTCAGTCCAGAGAGCAAGTTATCAGCACTGAGGTGCTCCTCACCTCCATCACCTTCCTGTCATTGCGACTCTGCCAACAGTGACTTTCCGTGATGATAAGCATAAATTCATGTGTTTAGCTCAGGAGAAACAGCACACACACTAAGGAGACTGTGGAATAGCCAATATTTTTTTAAAAAAGGAAAGAAAAAAATATTAAGCTCTTTCCCACTGTCTTCATTTTCATTCGCACTTGCATCAGTGAACACCATAATTAAAACTTACTAGTGACTTTCCTTTTATCATATTTCAAGTTATGTAAATTCGCAAAACATTTTCCCAATGTCCTTGAACATTTTCTCTGCACGGGAGGTGACTCTTTGAAGGGTATAATGTGTCTGCTTTGGATTGTACAGCAGAAGTGTGGTAGATGATGCAATCTATACCATTGTTTTTCTGTTTTAAGTTATATCGTAAATGCTTTGCCAATCACGAGCCTTGTACCTCACATAGGGATCACAAACTTTTCATGTTGAAGATACCCTCATTAACATGAAAGGTACAGAGTCCAAACTGCACTTAGGATGTTCGCAGCAATGTTCTACCTTGGTAAAAATATGTACATAATAATAACATTTTTAAAGCATAGTCAATAAATGCCATTATTGTTAAATAATTTTCTAGAGCTTATAATTGTTATTAAATATCAAATATTATTTTGTCTTAATTCATTTTCAACTGCTAGAAGCAGTAACAAGGTAAAAACGAGTAAATTCTGATGTAGCAATATGAAGCATATGAAAACTCAATGGTCTGAACTTTTTAGTTCATTCGTATTAAAACAGTTGCGAAGCTCCTCTGTGTGCCCTGCAATGAAAAGATGACTAGACTGTGATGTGATCTTCCCTGCCACATTGTAGGGAAGACAAGATTATGACCAAACACAGAGCGGATGGTATGCATACAACACGTGGACGCAGGCCTGAGGCGGAGATACAAAAGAAGAGGCGAGCGGTGGGAAGACACAGCTGTCTTTTCCTATCAGAAGCAAAAGCATATTAACATGTCCCTTGCGTTCCAGATTAAGCTAAGAAAATGGAAAAGATTTGAAGTTGACTCAGATTCTAACAACTCTAAATTGTGACTGTGTGATTGAATTAATACAGAACATTACAGACATGGCTGGATCCCAGAAGTTCCCAGTGGTTCCCATGTGTTCTCACCTGTTTTCCTTCAGCCGGTCCTGTACCTGCCACCACACTTGCTTGTGTTGTTTGATCAGCATGTGTTCTTTAGACATCTTTGATGTTTCCATAGCTTTTCTTATCTACATTTAGAAATAAAACAAAAGAGTGGCATCTTCCAAGTTTTCAAAATGTTTTTCCGCAATAGAAAGGTTTTGTGTTTTTCAGTCCTCACTAGAACTTCTTCTAACACACAATCCATCTAAAATAGTATATTAGATTAAACATCAGGGAGAGGAGAGCTAGATGTGGTGGTGCATGCCTTTGAGCCCAGCACTGGGAAGATAGAGGCAGGAGGATCCAAAATTCAAGGCTAGTCTCAGCTAGAGAGAGGTTGAGAGTATCCTGGGCTACATGAGATCCTGTCTTTAAAAAACAAAACAAAACAAAAAAAAAGTCAGTGAGAAGAAAGAAAGAATTAATGCTTAGAATTTGGCCAGTTGTAGAATTGGTTTCAAGGTATGCAAAGAAAGGTCAAGTCCTTCTATTTTCCATATAAACAATAGCCTACTTCATTCCAGCATGTATATCCCCATTTTGGACACGTTTCCTACCAGGAATTTTGAGTATCATTACACCTGTTTTATTCATGAGAACCCTGAAAGCAAGAGAAGTTCAAAGAAGGTCCAGATCACAAAGCTTGTAAACATCACAGTCACAGGTCCTTGATGTCGCGCTAGATTTTATCTGATCCTTCATTAAACATGTTGGGGGACCTGGCTTTACTCCCAGCTCCAATACTCCACAAAAAGACCTAGAACATGCAATTGTAGTCTTTCAAATACATGGCTTTATAAATAAACTTTTTTTTTAGATTTAGGCAAATAATTAGTAAAAGGTACTTAACAAAGAAATAGTGAAAAGTCATGTGCAATGGAAATTTAAATATTCAATCAAATGTAGTTCCCCAAGGTCCATGGCCTTTTAAAATGCAGCTCACGAGTGTTTTGAGGGCTCTGTTGCCAACTTGTGTCAGGCTTGGGTCTGTTGCCATTGCCCTGATCTGCACCCAGGCAAAAGCAGCCTCTTTCTCAAATGTGCCTTTCAGCTGCCTTCTAGCTGGGTTCAACCAAGGGAAGATGCCAGCTGTAGAAGATTGGAGAGAATGAGGCAAGCAGAAGCCAAAGCATCATGCACCCCTCTACTCTCAGAAGGCTCTCAGGAGCACCTTCTCCATTGCATCTACTTTTCCCCAAAGAATTCCAGTACAGTTCCAAATAGCTCTGATCACCTTTGCTTCTTATCTCTAGCACATGCGTGACCATCTTCCAACACTAAATACTGTGCTACCACAAATTCCCAAGTAGTATCTGATTCTTGGACTCTGGCTTATAGCCATGTATACCCTGAACTTTGTATGTTAACACTTTTACACATGTATAAAAGTACAAATCAGAAACTTGATGAAATATGTATATTTCCTAATTTATTTGCTACTAGACTCCTTCAGTACTCTTGATAGTTTAGAAAGATCAATAATGAAAACACAAAAACTTCAGATGAGAAGTTTCAAAAAGGAATTTTCATAATGCATGCTATTTCTAGCTGCTGTTCACTGATTACTTTAACCTTGAGTTTATCTTTCTGTTGTTCTGGTTTCCAATTCAAAATTAGGGATATAAGAAAATAAATTACTCCAAAGAACTATTTAAGAAATACAAATTCAAATCTTTTCTACAAGAATTCTTATGAGTGCTAAAGCTGTAAAGAAAAACTAAGTAGAGAGCACTGGTGGGAACATCCAGTTTCTACCTACCAATGAAATGGAAGTATACAATATTTTCAGAGGTTGACATTCTGGCACTTGTGTTAAGAATGTCTAAAACCCGTTCCAAGTTTTTACTATCTACAGTCTCTGAAGTTGTTGCCAATAGGCACAACTTTAAAATTAGATTTTTTTGACATATTTGGCCCATGTTGTACAAAAAACATTAAAATGTATCAGTAGAAGATACGGACTTTTTTATAGCTTAAGGAAAAAAATCAATATTTTTGCCTTTGGGTCAAGGGAAAAGCCAATTAAATAGACTACAAAAATCAAAATCAAACTATTTTTCACTGGACACCTCCAATATTTTGTACAACATCTTAATTTTTGCTTTCGTCTGTTTTTGGAAATTCAGTCATCGATTTTACTTTTACCCTCAGGCCAATAATGAAATAAAAGAAAGCCTTAAAAGATCCCAAAGATTTAAAGTGGTATCTTCATCGGCATAGATTAGTAGGTGATTCTAATTCACTTTACTAGGCAGTAAGCCACATAAAGTCACTATCAAAGTTGAATGATACCTTATGTAGAATGACAATGACTTTAAATCCTTTTGGGGAAAAAATGAAAAATAGTGAATTCATGAAATAATCAGAAACCATAAGTTTCCTGTGTCTGGTTTTTATGATAATCCAAGATAAGCAAACTTTAATTAAGCATTTTGAAATATTACAAAAATCCTGTGGTACAAAGGCTTCAAGTTTAGAAGCACACCTTGGTAAGCAGTGTCAGTTGAAGTGTTGGGTGCATGTGCTTAAACATTTGTCAAAACTCATTGTCATGTAAGTGAGTTATACTCAGCAAAGAACTGTCAGCATATATACAAACGAAAATATTACCCCAAACTGTAATTCCTCTTCTGTTAAGCTGGCAATGGCTCTGATATTTAACAAAGCATTCCACGAGGCTCTTGTGAAACATGTTCTCTCTTAAATTTCTAATAGAAATAAAAAATGATAGAACCCTATAGAAAGGAATTTGGATATACATAAGATTTTATACTGATTAACTATGATCCAGAAATTTCATTTGCAGAAATTTTCTGAAAGCCATATTGTCAAAAGTGTGCAAAATTATTCACTACAGCACCATTTATAATAGAAAAAAGATTGGAGAACAAAAATTCCATCAGTAAGTATTCTTGCCAAAGTAAATTTAATCTGAATCCGATCAATTCTCTAGATATAACAACCAATTTACAGGAAATACAAAAGAGAAAAACATGTAGAATGACACATCAAGGTGCAGTTGACATTATTTAGACTGTGAGGAACTATAAAAATGAGTAATGTGGCTTCTTCATGAAATAAATTATAAAACCACAAGAGGATGGCAGAAAAAACCTAACAAATAAAATTAAATTGCAATGTTGGATTTAATTTAGAGGCTGATTTGAGCAAACTTTGAGACAATCAAGAGATCTAATACTAACTAGATAGTAGAAATTATTGAGAAATTCACATTTTTATATTGGTAATGGTATAATGGGGCTTTTAAAGTTCTAATGTTGTAGAGTAACATACTAAAATGTTCCAGATTTTCTTCAAGACAAACGTGCATGGGGGAAGTAGGATAACAGATGAAACAACAGCCAACTCAATCCTTGTTGAAGCTGCATGATGTCACACAACATCATCCTACCATCCAAGCTACTTGTGCACACATGTAATTTCCTATAACACAAGGTTAAAAAAATATTTAATAGGACGCTTAAAATGGGCAAGAAAAAATATTTGCTTAGCCATATTCTGGCTAAGCAAAGAAATTTATATAAAAATAATCACGAAGATTGCTTTTCTATTTAATAAACTGGAAGTAAATACAGTATACCAAACAGTGGTGTCAGTTTCTAGCCCAAGTCTACTAAACTTCAAATTAGATTTTGGTCTTTGAAAGGTTCAATCTCACCTTAGTGTCTCACCTGGCATCCAGACATTGATCATGACCAATAAGACAGTGACTATGTAGATGACCATCACACCTAGCCAGTACCTTATCAGTAACCAGATAGCCTGAAGCAACATTCTCCTTGTGTGCTTTACATGTCAACATCCTACCAATCTATTTATATTAAACATTGCCAGAGTCAAAGTGCTGTAATCATCAACAATGGTAAAACTATTAAATTTATCTTAAAAGCGACATACATAATACTGAAATAAACAGGGAAATAGATATAATTAACACAAACATTAAAGGAGAATGTGTCAGCTATATGACATTAGGGAGAACTACATACTTTAAACCTGTACATTCTTTATAAAATTTTAAATAATAGAAGCAAGACTAACAGAGATGCTACTATAATTCTAGTTACTATAGAGTATTTGGTATATTAGCATCCATAACATTAAAATAAACTTTAAGAGTTTTATTTTATTCCCAGTTATTTAATTCCTTTTAAGCCCTAAGTTTTATAAAGAAAATTATTTATGAATTATTTGCATCTTAAAAGTAAATTAAAAGAAACCCTCTGCAGGCCTCTCTCCAGGGTAACTCTATTGTGCCCTCAGTGCCTTGACTCCCGCAGCCTCATTCACCCTCCCATTTCCCCTGCCTGTCTCTCCTCCTAGCCTGGGACCTGTCCCATTCCTTGTCTTGGTGCCCCAGGCACTGGGGGAACCACCACTGCTTCCTGATACGTTGCATCCAGACCAACCCAGTTCTTTCTGAGGTCCCCAGGGGCCCTGTGGGCCTGGCCCAACCCACCTCTCTCTGCTTCCCTGGTCTGACAACCCTCCAGCCTCTCTCCTGGGAGCCCTCAGGGCCTGGTCCTGCCCTCATCGCCCTCAGCTTCCCTGAGCAGCATAACCCACCAGCCTGTTTCCTGGATACCAGGGCTAACCATTCCTCTTCCTGATCCTTTACATCCAGACCAACCCAGTTCCTCAGTGCAGTCCCCAGGAGCCCTTGGGGCCTCTTTCCACCCCCATCTCCCTTTAAATCTCTGGGTGGCATGCCACCAGCTGCGTGAGACCAGCATCTTTCCTGGTCCTTGTTCCCAGGCCAGTGCACCCTGCATATTCCTGAAGCCAAAATCCTTCCTGGAGGGATCCAGACCTTAGGAGAAAGCCTGAGAGCATCTATTCCTCATCTGACATGGGCCTCTGTGGGAACTTCTGAAGACAAAAGCAATCTGGCCATTCCAATATAAAATCAAAAGAGAGAACCAGAAGCTTAGAGGAACCAGCTTTTCATGCCCAAGAAGTAAACCACAAAGACACATAAAATTCACAAAAAGAAGTAGACCTAAACTTGAAGTCTTGAGTCTCACACAAGAATCAGAAACTACAAAAGAAATTCACATGTCAAAAT